TATTAAGAGACAATATTAATTACTTCTTATCACAGGTTCCTCACTTCCATCCTCAGCCACTATCAGTTCCTCCCTCTCTCCTACTGTTAGTAGCTCTAGACAAGGAATGGACATCCACTCCCTGGATGGAGTTGTTCAGGAATACTTTACAGCCGGCCTGACCGAGTCCTCCCATCGTACGTATGGAACAGCAGAGAGACGATATAGGAAGTTTTGTCATGACTTTTCTTTGTACCCATTTCCTACAAATGAAAATATTTTATGCTATTTTGTTGCATGTTTGGGGCAACAGGGCCTGGCCCTAGCCACCATAAAGACTTACCTGTCAGGGGTTCGACAAGCACAGATTGGGGGTGGTCTACCCGACCCCAATGTACATGCAATCCACGCCTCCGTCAGGTCCTAAGGAGGGGTGGAGATAGTGAGGGGAAGGCTGGGTAAGACTCCATGCCTGAAGCTACCCATCACCCCAAGCATCTTGAGAAAGATGAAGGGGGTGTGGGCCCAAGAGCGAGAGTATGAGAGGAGTCTGTGGTGGGCAGTCGCCTTGACAGCCTTCTTTGGCTTCTGGCGCTCCAGGGAGATAACAGTACCACAGTACAGAGTGTATGATCCTCAGGTTCATTTATCTTTCCGGGACCTAGCAGTGGACAACTCGCTCCACCCTAATGAGATCTCGTTACTGCTACACTGCTCAAAGACCGATCAGGAGAGGAGTGTCAGGGTCATTCTGGGTCGTACCAATGCGGATCTTTGCCCAGTATCTGCGCTCCTAAGTTACTTGGTGCATCAAGGCAGGGGTCCAGGAGCCTTGTTCATGTTGGATGGTCAGCCCCTTGAGAGGACCCGCCTGGTGGAGGAAGTACGCCGCACACTCACAAGGGTGGGACTGCCAGCAGGTAATTTTGCTGGCCACAGCTTCTGTATTGGGGCTGCAACGACAGCGTCAGCCATTGGAGTTGAGGATAGTACAATTTAGACTTTGGGGCGGTGAAAGAGTGCTGCTTTCATATTGTATGTCCGCCCATCTACCAGTCACTTAGCCGGGGTCTCAAGATCCTTGGCCCAGTCTAATTTGTGAAGGGTGGTCCCGTGTCTCATCAGGGGGAACTGGTAACTCAAGGCCTCTTATATCCTAGGCCTTGTTGGGTGGAACAAACCCGTCCTCATTCTTCTTTATTAATAATTATTATTAAAATTAAAGTTATAAATTTGGGGCCCACATACGGGGGCTCCCAAGTAAAAATTATTAATTAATTGTAATAACATGGGATCCATAATTCCACAGCCTGGATAGTTAATTGAAGTTTAGGCCTAAGGGTTAAACAAAGTTAACTAGAAGGCTGGGTCAGTGGTAGTTATATTACTTATAAGTAATAACCAGTAGCTTGTAGTAGCAGTCAGTCTGATAGCAAGCAGGAGCGTTGCAGCAAGCAGTAGCATCAGTGCAAAGCATCTCTTATTTTCTAGTTTCTTCTCCCCACCCTCTCTGCCCACTTAATCTTCCTCCATTACCATTAGTGGTAATGTGAACATGGATAGTGTTATTACAAACCCTTCCCCCTTCTTCTTTATTATTAATTCTTATTAAAATTAAAGTTATAAATTTGGGGCCCACATACGGGGGCCCCCAAGTAAAAACTATTAATAAATTGTAATAATACGTGATCCATAATTCCACGGCCTGAATAGTTAAACTATTACTGTTACTACTTGTAATATTGTTATGAAAATTATTAGTCAAATAAGTAATGAATTATTTTAACAATAATTATTACTCTAAAATGAAGTTGTATAATCATCAATGGACACATTATTGATATTCAATAATAATAGAAGAGACACAAGTTAGACGCTCAGGAGCTTTATGTTCTTGCAGATATATTTATTTTTTTCAGAAACTGTGTGCCCAAAAACTTGAGAAAGACAAAGGTTACGAGAAAACCCTATTTTTTGCTGTTCCTTTGTCTCATTTGGTGTTATGCTACTTAGTTCAATTTTATAACCTACTTTGCACATAGATTTGCAATTTTTGTCTTAAAATGAAAGAAGTGTATAATAGATACTTTTATAATAGAGAAAATATAAATGTTGCCTGTTAATTTCAATAAAAATGATTTGTTCAGTTCCTTATTATGGTGCTTACAATAGCATTAATTACTTAATCTTGATCTCTAATTTTCTTATATTGTTCCTTTAAGTGATCAATAGTTGCTTTGCGAAGGCAGTTTGATGCAGTCATTGTAAAAGCAAAAAGTATTATTGACTCGTTCAGGATGAAGTCTTTCCATGCAATGATTGGTAATTTGGATCCTTCTGTTTTGTTGTGCCATGGCTTCGAATATGTCCCAAGCCATTCAATTTCAATTCTGTTTTCTTCTATTTCCAATACTCTGGCAATAAGTGGCTCTAATTCACTGTTTTTACAAGTGACTGCTACTAAATGTCCCTGTTGCAGGGCTGTAGTATCAGAAACTGCCATGACTTCTCTCGTTAATCTAAATGGTGCTCTGTAGCTACCAGTGTACAACTATAAATGTTGATATTGATCATGCATATGCATGTACCTAAATTTAGGTTTGCATGTACTTCACAAGTTTGCCTAAATTTAGGTTCAGCATAATTTAAATGAATGGCCTATGCATTCTGAACACACACAACAATGCAAAAAACATAAATTTAGGCTTCCATTTAAAATAATTTGTATGTAACAACTTGTAAATTCAAGCACGTCTGATCTTTAATTGTATGCAAAAAATACATAAGGGTTTACTGCTTACTTCACATTCTGGATCATGATCAAAAAGTATTGGAACAGTTTCAGGCATTGCGAGATTTGTTGAATTTGAATTCCCAGTAAAAAGATTTAAGTTCCGTAATGAATTTGAAGATGCCTGTATAAAGTAAGTGAAAATTTTAAGTCAAAAATCTTGCCAGTTTGTCGAAGCAGAATCTAAAATCCAATCCTTATAGTTAGGAATGACTATAAGAAAATTGTCATTCTTTTCTCCATTTGGTACAACTGCTTGTGGTATGTTGTCTTCATTGGGGATACCCTATGTAACCAGTGACATCTATAAATATATGCCTTTAGTTGCATTATTGTACATTTAGTATCTTTATGGCACTTGTATCTTGGAACCATGATGAATCACTCCAGTTTTTGTAGTAGAGTAGCACTTCATGGCCACTTTTAATAAATTTAAAGCAATGAGGAGCTGTGTGACCATGAATATCTTCAATATGAGGTAGTAACCAAGATTTGACATCATAAACTCCTTCTAATAGCTAAACAAAGGGTGTAGGTGTATAAATTTGCTTTGTGACAGAAAGTAGATCTATTTGCATGAATCTAATGACCATGACAAGTTTTCTTACATGGCAATGATTTGGCACCTTTCCTTCTCAGTCTTGTAGCAACTCTTGAAAATAATTGATCAATGTCTTCATAAGTACGGCCCACAGGTAAAAAATTCACTCGAACCTTTGGACATTAACAAAATTATCATACAATATTTATTTCATAATATTGTACAACAATATACATAATGTTATCAATAATATTATGCATTGTAATTCAATTTTAAAAAGGTAGATGTATGTTATTATACACTTTTACTTTATTAAAAATTCCAAATTGAACAAGAATGGCACAAAATGCAATATGAATTTATTTTTATTTTCTCGTGCTGTGTTGTCAAGCTGTGAAGACAATATCTGGAAGCACTCTTGTTGCTAAATCCAATAGTACTTCATAAAGTATAGTAGCTGTTAATTTGCTGTCATGTGGCCACTGAAGAAGGTCATAAAAACAATAGCGAAGCTTTCCCTGGTGTGATCTTGTATGTACTAACACTCCAGTCAAGTGTGTTTTCAGTCGTTGTAGTGGCTGGCTTGATTTAATCTCTACATAGACAAGGCATGTTGGTTTTACTTTGATCCATTCCATCTATTATTATTGTGACATATTTCTCTGGACTTGATCTCGTTTTTTTGTCGGTGAAGAGAATATTTTTTCCTTTCTTGTCTATTGAAAATGATGTACTGTGCCTTTTATATTGTTCTTCATAAGCACTTCTGACTAAATTCACTGATTTGTGACATTCATTGGCCACTTTAGTACAAGTGTCATATTTATTGAACATGCTCCGCTGAAAAAGTACAAAAATAATGTTGAAAAGTGTTAACAAAAATTATACTTACTTCAGGTATGATTACATTACGTAATTCACTCCCCCATAACTTATAGAAGTACGATTGTGATATAATCTGACAAACACGCTCATTTTGTTCCATAAGATCAGACTTCATTTTCAGATAAATGTCATGCTTTGTCAGGAAACGAGGCAAGTGAATTTTTTGTGTGCCATGTGATCTACCATATTGAAGTATCGTCCCATCCAGGCTTTGGCATCTGAGACTTTATCAGCCTCTCTTCATGATCTTGTTTTTGCTTTCTAGTTGATTACCCCTTCCATGTATTGTCGATAGATGCATTTATACCTTTTGTCAGAAATGCTGAGTACATGTTTAAAGGCCTTGGTACACAAACTTTGACCCTCAGGCATGTGTTTACTATTATTACTGAGCTCAAAAGAAGTCAGTAGAAATGGATTCTGATCGAAATTTGTTCTGACAGCAAATCGTTGCTTTCTTTGCTCAATGATAAAAACTGGATAAAACTAGTGTACAAGCATTTGAGCAGCACTGCTTTGAAAATGGCTCTCGAATAGATGATGGTGGTCCCCTATTTTGCTCATGTTGCAGTGTGTTAGTCTGTATGCTGCTTGAACAAGTAGATAAGTCCACCTCATCTAGATCTAGACACAATCTTTTGGAAGATGACACCAATTCTTCAGAGTCTGTAGAATCATATTCCGCTTCACTATCATGGTTTCTGGGCCGCCGACAAGCTTGATTGCTTAGAGAAGTAGATGTTGCATGAACTTCAGATGCCTTATTTGGAGTGAGTAAAAGCAAGGAACAGTCTTCGTTAGTCTAGTGTCACTAAAGTTAATCAGATAGTGATTGTACATGCTTGTTTACCTCAATAACCTCACTGTCACTGTTGTACTGATCGTTTTCAAGAACAATTGATGCAGGTATACTTGGTGGGAAAATCACTGCTGGCTCTATATCTTCGAATATCATCAGAGATGAAGAAGAATTATGAGATTCATCGTCAAAGATTAAGAGAGAATCAGGAGACTGAGGAGAGCTGTGAACCAAAGCCATTTGTGTGGAAGCTGAATTAAGGTGGGCAGAATCCAGCCTATGACATTGCCCACATATATTGACTGTAACCATAGAGATACTGCTCTAAGTAGGTGCTCATTCAGCCTCGTTGGACTCCACTATTACTTTCTGAGTCTCTGTCTTGCTGTTCATTGCTGATCGGTACTTATGCCTTCACTCAAGACATGGAATTATGAAGCATTAGGTGGTATAAAGGTACTCCGTAATGGAAAGCCTTTATTTAACAAGTGGGGCAGTGAACTAGGCTACATAAAGGCGCTGAGAGTACCGAACAAAGTTAGCACATGTGCTGCAGCAGAAAAATTTATAGTCAATGCCATTCAGGTATAATATTTTGTACTAGAACATTCATTAAAAGAATATTTCATATGTCATGGGAATGTAGATGTTGTATTGAACAGAGGAGATTTTCAGTGGAATAAAAATGAGTTTTGTGGACATTTCAAGGGTTTAAATGATGCCTGCCAATTTATAGTTACTTAAAATAGATTTACTAGATATGACTCTAACAGTGGGAAATTTGTCTACTTTAGCGATGGCGACTGGTTAACTCCTTCCAATTCTGACAGTGTTGCAAGCAATTCACAACGGACAGAGACAGACAATGCTGAAACATTAACAACTTCCCCCACTTGTATTGCCACTAGTGGACGTAAAAGAAATAATGAGGAAAAGATAGTTCACAATAATTTAATGGATGACTCTATATTGAAGAAGCAAGTA